GCTGGCTGCACCCCGACGAGCGGGTGCTGGGGCCCGGCGTCTCCTACATTGTCCGGGTAAGTCCCTCCGGAGCCCGGCGATGCGGGAGGGCGCGGAGACCCCGGCCCCGGGCGTGTGCGGGTCCGGCCGCTCCTCCCGATGGCTGCGGGCAGAGCCCTCGATCGAGTCCCCCCGACACGACACATGCGGGTTCCGYGATGGGGTTGGGGGCCAGGGGCTTCCTGGGCCGGGGAGCCCACCCCAGGGCTCCAGCGTTCTCAGCCCCTACAAGGCATCACAAGCTGTAGCACACCCATGAGTTTGTGGGGTGTCAGCACCGGGTCTGGGCATGTGATGGGGCATTTTTGGGGGCCCGAGTCTGCTGTGTGATCCCTGGAGCTGGTGTGGATGAGCCCCTTCTCCCTGACACTCGGCCTCTCCTCTCTGTTCCCTGCCCTGTTCTGCCTCCTGCTCTGACCACTTTGCCCACAGTACATGGGGTGCATTGAGGTGCTGCGCTCCATGAGGTCCCTCGACTTCAACACCAGGACACAGGTCACCAGGTATGGCCCTGCAGTCTCTCCTGTACCCCAGTGTCCCCCGGAGCTCCTGGTGGCACTGGGTGCTCCCCAGGGGAACACGGGTCAGGGGGAGCCGTGCCCTAGAGGACCCACCCCGCAYGCAGGGACACGGGCGAAGGGCACTGCTGCAGATCGATGGGTGGAAAGAGGAGAAGGGAGGTGGCCCCAGCCGGGATTGCGTACCACGGGCCGTGACGTGGGGCAGTGCTGCGGGGCGGCTGCGGCTCCAGGGGCTGGGGGGGCCTGTGCCTGCAGACCCCACAGAGAAATGGGTGGGGGGAAGGCGGCTGGGATGGGGTCAGGGGTCTGCAGCAATGACCAGGCCAGGCTCTGTCCGTTGCAGGGAAGCCATCAACAGACTGTAYGAGGCTGTGCCGGGTGTGAAGGGCATCTGGAAGAAGAAGGTGAGTTCCAGCTCTGCTYGTCCCTCCCTGTAGGACAGAGCACCAGGGGTGCCTGTCCAGTTTGTGGGCCTGGGACTTCTTGGGGCACCCCTCTTTTCCTCRTTCATCCTGGTGCTCTGCATCACCCTCACCATCCTCTCCTCTGTCAGGCTCCCAACAAAGCCCTGTTCTCCATCCTGGGCAAGAGCAACCTGCATTTCGCCGGCATGAGCATTGCCATCAACATCTCCGTCGATGGGCTGAACCTCATGATCCCCACCACACGCCAGGTGAGGGTGTTCCTGGGCACACACCCTGCTCCCTGCCAACCTGCCAGCCGGTGGCCCCTTTGCTAATGCCCCTCCCTGRCCACATTTCCCACACAGATCATCGCCAACCATCACATGCAGTCCATCTCCTTCGCGTCCGGCGGGGACATGGTGAGTCACACACACCTCACTCCCACAGGGCGGTGGGGACAGGGACTGCCTGTCCAGTGGCTGAGCAAAGCACAGCTCCAGGACGTGGGGCTGGGGCTGAGCTGTCCCCTCTCCCTGGCAYGTCCAGCCCTTGTCCCCATGTGGCAGCAGGACATGGGTGCTGATCTTCCCCTGTGTCCCCAGGACACCACGGACTATGTCGCCTACGTCGCCAAGGACCCCATCAACCAGAGAGGTGACGCCTGGGAGCTCTGTGGAGGAGCTCTGTGAAAGCTGCAGGATCAGATCCTTGAGGGGTGGCTCAGGGTGGTCCCAGTGTGGCGATGGGAGTGTAGGGGAAACTCTCGAGCCGTCCATCTGTCTGTCCGCAGCCTGCCACATCCTGGAGTGCTGCGAGGGGCTGGCGCAGAGYGTCATCAGCACGGTGGGACAGGCCTTCGAGCTGCGCTTCAAGCAGTACCTGCACAGCCCCCCCAAGGTGGTGGTACCCCCGGAGAGGTAGGGGGGTGGGGGGCCCTGCTGCACCCCCTGTCCCGGCCGTGTCCCCCCTGGCTGGGGTGTGGGGACAGCCAGAACCTGGCAGGGCATCCCCAGCTCGCCTGTCCCTGCTGCAGGGCGCTGGGTGCAGAGGAGTCAGCCTGGGGGGAGGACGAGGAGGCGGCTGAGCACGACTACTACAACAGCATCCCGGGCAAGGAGCCACCCCCGGGCGGGCTGGTGGACTCCCGGCTCCGTCACAGCACAGCCCTGGGCCACGTCCGCGCTCAGCCCTCCAGCTCTGTCCCCTGCAACCAGGTGAGCCCCTCAGAGCCCCTGCTGGCCTTGCTCTGGGGGTCCCAGCCCCTCTGAGCTTCTCACTGTCTCCTTTCCCAGGGTGGGGTAGCAGCCAGAAGAGACCCGAGCACCCATCTGGGGCCACCGTGGGACCTGGACAGCCAAGGTGGGTGTTACTGTGGGGGAAACCACGAGCTGGGGGGGTTCCCGGTGACTGTGGCCAGTCCTGGCCAGCGGTGATGGCCRTCCTTGCAGGCCAGCCCTGCGACGGGTACCTGCAGGCAGACAGCCACGCTCTGGGGCCGCGGGACTACGAGGAGCACATGTACGTGAACACGCAGAGCCTGGACGCCTGGGAGCCGGAGCTGCTGGCTCACGGGGCGGCRGAGGAGAGCCCCAAAAAGGACCTTTTTGACATGAGTAAGGCGCTGCACTGGTGCAGAACCTGCTGTGGAGGGGTCAAGCTGTGCCAGTGCTGTCCAGGTCACCGGCCACGAGCCACTGGCCGAGTCCACAGCAGGGCCCTGCAGAGCACTGGGGACAGTGAGCTGGGGGCTCTCCTCATCACACCCCTCTGGCTCCCACAGGACCCTTTGAGGATGCCCTAAAGCTCCACGAGTGCATTGCAGGGGGTGGCACCAACATCCCCATCGAGGACCAGTGGCCAAGCCCCCCAACACGGAAGGCCCCCATCGCCCCCACGGAGGAGCAGCTGCGCAAGGAGCCCTGGTACCACGGCAAGATGAGCCGGCAGGACGCTGAGAGGCTCCTGCAGATGGACGGCGACTTCCTGGTGCGGGACAGCCTCACCAACCCGGGGCAGTACGTGCTGACCGGCATGCACAGCGGGCAGCCCAAGCACCTGCTGCTGGTGGATCCCGAGGGAGTGGTGAGGGCAGGGCAGGGTGATTTGGGGCTGGGGTCGGGGCGGGAGGTCCCACGGGGTGTTTATTCACGGGATGCTCTGTGCCCCGGCGCCAGGTGAGGACCAAGGATGTGCTGTTTGAGAGCATCAGCCACCTCATCAGCCACCACCGGCAGAACGAGCAGCCCATCGTGGCGGCCGAGAGCGAGCTGCACCTGCGCCAGGTTGTACAGAGGAAGCAGTGATGCCGGGGGGTACGTGAGTGCCCATCYGCTCCCCGGGCTCTGGACTCACCCTAAGGCAAAACTGGGGTCTCTCTGCGCTCCCTGTCTCCGGTTGTGCCTGTTTTCTGGGGGTCAAGCTCCCCGTTTTCCTCCCCAGCGAGGTCCTGTGGTCCCTGGCCCTGTAGGTCCTCCCTGGCTGCTGCCTACCTCCATCATCTGCACAGGGCCCCTTGCCCAGCTGGACACAAAGACGTTTAATTCCTCATGTGCAGGTGAAATGCTCTTGGGGTGGGAACTGCTCCGTGGACTCAGCAGGAGGGACAGAGCCTGATCCCATCTTGGGCAGGGATGCCCCAGCACTGGAATAGGGCTGGTGGACATCGCTGTAGCCCCAGCTTGGTTCTCAGGCACAGYCAGCCCTTGGAGGTGGGTGCTGTTGGATGTTTCTGTTGGGGACAGCCCTTTCCAGCCAGATTGTCCCCAGAGGTGGCTGCCACACGATGCTCCCCAAGGCCCTGCAGCCCTCCCCAGGCCAGGACCAGGACAGAGCTACCATGGGAAGGTGCAGGGCAGGGCTGAGCTGCTGGCAGTGCCTCACGAGGTGTCCCATGGCCTCCCTGGCCAGTTGGGGGCTTTGGCAGGTTTTTACACACGGCTCCTTTTTCCCATCCCTGTCTGACACTGTGGGTTTGTGGTTTGGAATACATTTCTAATTAAACCTRGAAACGAGCACGGAGCCTAGGCAGTTCATCCCCCTCTGGGCACGATGCTAGGACAGGTCTCCATCACCACCAGCTCCTGCCTSGTCCCACCTTGGCCAGCCCATCCTGTCCAGCCACACTTGAATCTGCCCCTCTGGGTCACCCAGTGTCCCCCATAGGTCACCCAGTGCCCCCCTGGCTTCAGAGTGGCCTTCAACACCCCCGGCCGGTCCTGCACGGCCTCTCCTCCTCGTGCCTGGCAGCTCCCTGCCCCGCTGGCTCCTGCTGCCAACTCCCCTCCTGCCTCCACCTGGCACGTGGCCACCCACCCCTGGACCTCCTACCACAGCCAGGGTGGCTCCAAGTGGCACAAGCCAAGCTGTGACCCGCTAGGGAATGTGGTGACCAGCAGAGCCAGAGTCTTGGTRGGACACAGGTGGTCAGCAGCCACTGGGGGTGTCCAGTGGGGGTGTCCTGGCTCTGCTCCAAGTGCCCAGTGCTGCTGCCAGCACCCACCTCAGGGAGCAGGGTCACCCCAGCACCCTCAGCCCCTCACTGGGGCTGGCCTTTGCCGGTGCTGGCTGAGCCAATGAATAAAATAAGCCCCTAAATAAAGCCCAGTAATGAATGCGTAATTTTCCATTGATAGCTGGATTCCGCCGGGATGTGGTGCTTCCATCTCAGCTGCTATTTTTTGTCGTGGAGTGATGCGTCTGCAAGGATAATTGCACTGTTCTCTCAACAGAGAGCAGGAAAAGGCAGTGAGGGCCACGACTTTCTTCTCTCACTGCTGGAGAACTGAGCCCGTGTGGTTCACCCGCTGGCGGTGCCTGGCCCTGCAGCCCAGGGGATGCTGCCCTGAGGGATGAAAGGCTGGCAGAGGGGTTGTTTTAGGGGTTTGGCCACTTTGGGTGAGGCTGGTGTGTGGTGCCAATGGGTGCAGGGAGCTCTGTGCCCCAACCTAGATCCGGGTTGAAGGGCTGCTCCTTCTTCAGCCCATGTGATGGGGAGGCTGGGGTGTTTTGGGAAGGCTGAGGTGTTTTGGGAAGGTTTGGAAGCCACACAAGAGCAGCTGCAGAGGACGTCACCCCCTTGCTCTCCCAGGGCCTTGGAGGTCTCTGTGACCAATCTCCCCTCCACCTGTCTCAAATGACGCTCCTAGCTCGGTTATTCAGAGCATCCTCGCACAAACCCTTTCCCGCAGCAGGGAAGGTCTCTCTCYTTCCCAGCTTCCAGCAGGTGGTAGCACACCGCCGGCTCCACCAGCTCTGTCCCCAGCCCCTGCCAGCGTCCCCAGCCCTGCCAGTCCGCAGCCAGGCAGCTCCCAGCACCTCCGGGCACTGCGGGCACCGGCCCCGAGCCGCACGGATGGAGCTGGCCCGGCCCCAGCGCTCTTTGTTATCTCAGGGGAACTCAACCATTTCTGCACCTTGTTTACCCGCAGTTTCGCAGGGTGGAGGAAAAGCAAACATCGACCTTTTGTTCAGCAGCTTCCCCTTCCGCGGTTCTCGTCCTCCTCCTCCTCCAGGCTCCATCTGCCCTCTCCTCCCCTCGGGATCCGGCTCAGCACCCTGCAGTCCTCCCAGGACCCTCCCGCAGCTGTCCCTGAGATATCCCAGCCCCCGGTCCGGTTCGGCACGGCCGGACGCCCCTTTTTACYGGCTCCAAGCGGGAATGCAGAGGGAGCCGAGGCTTCCCGCACAGCCCCCTCGGCAGGTGCTCACCACACCAGGCTTTTCTTCCTGGCCATCGCTCCCAGCCCTGCACTGCTGCGGAATGATGGTGCTTCCTGGCAGCCTGGCAGCATCCACGGAGCAGCAGCCAGGAAGAAACAGCCTCCTGACCCTTTTGTGTCACTGCTCCGTGCATCCCTGTCCCCAGGGCTGTAAATCCCGGTGAGACCGGGGCTGGGCCCGATCATCCGGTTAAATCTCCCGACCCCCGGTTCATCTCCGTGAACCCTCCTGACGTTTTGCCCCGGTGTCCCCAGCCACTACCACATCCCTCCAGGGGCTGGTGGGTTTTGTGACATGGGGGTGTGTGACATTGGGGTATGTGACATGTGGCACTGCCCCCCAGCGCAATTTTAAACCACTCAATGAGGCAACCCCTCCGCCTCGAGCCGCTGCTGCCTTCATTCAGTGCWTTGAGCTCAAGAGCTGGGAGTGGGGAGGGCCTGATCCCAGAGGGGAACGACCGGGAGTCACCACGGGGACGGTCACCACGGGGCTGTTGCCGTCTCGAATCCACTCCCGGCCCCATCCCAACCCCGATGCTCCCGTGGGCAGACGGCCGGGTGTCCCGAAGTCAGGTCTCCGCACCCCCCGAGCATCAGCAACCCGGGGCCGCATTGTCCCGGTCCCGGTCCCTATCCTGATTCCAGGTCCCGGTCCCGATCCCGGTCCAGGTCCCGGTCCCGATCCTGATCCCGGTCCCGGTCCCGGTCCCGGTCCAGCCAAGCGCGGCGCGCAGAAATGCAGGGTCGGCGCACTCGGAGGATTACGGCGGCGGCGCGGACGAGGAGCGGAGCCGCCGCCGCTGCCGCCGTATAAAAGCGCGTCCGCTCCCGCCCCGCCCGAGCTGCGGTGGCGGCGGCGGCTCCGCTCCAGGTGCGGCGGCGGCTCCCGGCAACGTCCCGCTCGCGGCGGCGCCGGTCGGTCGGTCCGTCGGTCCAGGCGTCGCGTCGCGTCTGTCCCGTCCCATCGCGTCGCTCGGCGCCGCCGGGTCGCCGTTCCCCGGGGTCCCCGATTCTCTCTCCCCGCGGCCGGTTCCTTCGCGCTCCTCCCCGGGCTGGCGGGTCCCCGTGTCCCTCGGCGCGGCCAGCTCCCTCCCCTCTTTGTCCCGTCCCCCCGGCCTGCCCGGTCGGGGTCTCTCGGTGCCGCTGGTCGCTCCCGGGGTTTTTCGYTTCGTCCTGCCTCTGCCGGTGCCCKGTCCCCGGGGATAGCGTTTCCTCTCGGGTCTCTTCCAGCCCCGCACCCGGCAGCAACATGTGGCTCCTGGAGCGGCTGCGCGGGGTGGCGGAGAACGGCGGGTCCCGCGGCTCGGGGACRGACGAGTCCTCGCGGGGGTCCCGCTACAGCAACGTCCTCACCCCCGACAAAATCCCCGACTTTTTTATCCCGCCCAAGCTGAGCGCGGCTCCCGCCGAGGCTGAGGGCTCCGAGGTCCCCGCAGCGGCCGCTCTGGGTGCCTCAGTGTCAGAGCAGGACCTGGCCGGGCGCAAACCCCCGCGCAGCCCCCGGCCGTCCAGCCGCTCCCGCTCCCGGACCAGGGGGCGGCACATCATCCAGATCGAGACCGCCGAGGACTGGACSGAGGACAGCTGCGGCACCAACGCGGACCCGCAGGCACAGACGGCCATGTCGCTGCCCTACGTGCCCAAGGCGCAGACCTCCTACGGCTTCGCCACGCTGATGGAGAGCCCTCACACGCGGCGCAAAGAGTCCCTGTTCCACAGCGAGCACAGCAGCCTCTGCCCCTCRCCCGTCACCTCGCCCAGCGCCCAGCGCAAAGCCAAGCTCAACGGCGAGAGCGGCCGCCGGACACCCGCCGACCTCGGCGCGGCTCTCATGCACCCCGGCCGCTACTTCAGCGGCGGAGAGAGCGACACGTGCTCCTCCGCCGAGTCCTCGCCCTTCGGCTCCCCGCTGCTCTCCCGCTCCGTGTCCCTGCTGAAGCTCTTCAGCCAGGAGAGCCAGTCCAAGGTCATCAAGCTGAAGCACTCGGTGGCCCGCAACAGCTCGCTGTCCACCGACGACAGCTCGGCTGACACCAGCCCCAGCGCCCAGCGCCGCGCCAGGAGCGCTCCGGCCGGGACTCAGCCTGCCACCGCCGTGCTGCCCCTGGACCTGCCCGCGGGCCGGGACCGGGAGCACAGCCTGCGGCTGAGCCGGGGCGGGAGCCTGCGCCTGGCCGCYGAGTACGACCCCTCCAACGCCCGGCTGCGGGTGCGCCTCGTGTCCGCCGAGGATCTCTACGACGCCCTCGTCGACCTGCGCAGCATCAACTGCTGCGTCTCGCTGTGCCTCAACCCCGGCAAGCTGCAGAAGCAGCGCAGCACCATCGTCAAGAACAGCCGCAACCCTGTCTTCAACGAGGACTTCTTCTTCGACGGGCTGGGCCCCGGGCACGCCAGGAAGATGTCCCTGAAGCTCAAGGTGGTCAATAAGGGCAGCAGCCTTAAGAGGGACACGCTGCTGGGGGAGAAGGAGCTGCCACTCACCGCCCTCCTGTCCTGCCTGTAGGTACCTGCTGCCAGCCCCAGAGAGAGCCCGCCCACCTATGGGGCCGGGGCTGGGCAGGGAGGCCGGTTCTGTCCCCCAGCTCCGCTGGAGGAGGGTTTGGAAGGGCCCTCTGAGGAGGGCCGGGCTCTGGGCACAGCGTGGGGGTCCCCAGGAATGGTGCTGGTGTGGGGCTCTGCCAGCACCAGCGGGCAGTCACAGCCTCTGCCCCTGCTCCCTCCCTGCTCCTGCCCCGGGGCTGCATCTCCTGGAGCYCAGCAGGAAGTGGGGAACCTCCAGGTCATTCCCCAGCAGGAAGGACGGAAGCACCTGTGGGACTCTTCCCTCCCTGTGCCTGCGGTCTCCAGCTGCCGCCTTGCAGGTTGGAGGTGGGTAAATCTCTGTAGCACTCTTAGGGCCACCTCTCAAAGCCCCAGCTCTTGCAGTCAGGTGACAGAATCGATCTCAGTTTAATGGAGAAGTTAGAAGTTTCTAGAAGACAAGTTTCTAGTTTTGGAAACTACAAAGAAAAYACTGCAGAGGTGACCCGAGAGCGGGCAAGGGCGGTCACCCTGGGGGATGAGTCAGGTTTGTGGCTTTTGAGCCTTTCCTGGACTCCTCCCAGCCCTGCGGGGCTGCTCAGGTGCAGAGTCTGACACCTGCAGCCTCCCGAGCCACCCTCCCTGCCCACCCCAGTGTCCCCCACTGCTGACCCCCAGTGGGAACCTGCTCACGGAGCTTTGGGGGCTCTGSTTTCCCCAAATCCAGGAGGCTGCCTGTGCCTTTTTCCTGCCCACAGGAGGGAGATCCCGGGGCTGGCACCCCTTGCCCTGGCAGGAGTTGTCCCAGGCAGTGTCCCAGCAGATGTCTCAGCTTGCTAACAAAAGCTGAGGTGACAGGAGCAGCCCTCCCTGAGTGCTGGGGCTGTCCCAGGGGAGGCTGAGGCTGAAGCTCCACAAACCTTCCGCCCTCCCTTGCCTGGGAGAGTTCACCAAGCTCCTGCGCCCAGCGGGATCTACCTTCCCAAAGTGAAGCGAGCGAGGTGCTCCCAACCCTTCCCATCCCATCCCATCCCATCCTCTCACCCCGGCTGCCCGGCTGGGGTCGGTGGGAGCGGGGAGGAGGCCGCTGGGAGGCATTTCTGCGGGTGGATAAAACAATCTGCGTTGTTGTTTGGTGTGCTGTCACCCATCGTGTCGGGCTCTGCATGTTTCTGTGCAGGGAGCAGGATTTGCAGCGCTCCCATCCCCGCCTGCCGCAGCACGCGTTGGACACACATGTGTCCCCTCTTTGTTAACCTCCGTGGTGGCAGTGGATGTTCCTCCCTTGTCCTTTTCGCAGCAGATGGCAGATCTCAGTGTTGGCTATTTATATCCCAGGCTGATCTTTTCGCAGCGTTTTACTTTCTGTCTGTAAATACGTTTTCAGGTACGCCAGGCGCGGTTCCGATCGCGCCGCTTTTGCATGCCRGGGGGGATTCGGGGTGACCGTGGATGTTTGTCGAGTTTTGTGGTCGAAAACAAACCGTGCAGGACATGAGGAGCTGACATGTCCGGGCTCCACAGGGGAGTTTCCCACCTGAGGCTTCCCTGCSCTCCCCCAAGAGCCAACATGAGGGGTGGTCCTTGGTCCCCAATGATGGGGGCTCTGGGGAGGGTGGGGTGGGGAGAGGTGTCACATCCTCGGGTGTGGGGTGAGCATCCTGCCCCTGAGGAGGTTTGGGAAAGGCCAGGAAGGGGATCCTGATGGGCTGGGTGCTGCCTGACAGCCCCCACACACCCCACCAGCACCCTGGGGTGCTGCACCTGCAAGGGGCTGGGGGACCTGGGGGGCACAGGCTGAAAGGGAAGGGGGAACGGGAGCTGGGACAAAGATTTTGGTGCTCTGACAGGTTTGAGGGGTGACACATCCCCCGCAGCAGAACCGTGTGCCTTTGGGTTTGGGAAAAGGAGGGTGCTGAGAGCAGAACCCCGAGTTCTTGGGTTGAGACTGACCCCAGAGGGACACCCAAGGGCCTGGGGGCTGCTGTCCTGCTCCACCCCAGCCCGTCCCAGGGCTGGAGTCGGGTGTGTGGTCACACAGTGAGCCCCGGGGTGTGCTGCTGTGAGCCCTGCTGTGTGCTGGGCCGGTGGTGTGGGAGCAGGAGYTGTTGCTCGGATGGGTCTCTCCTCTGCTGGAGCTCTTTTCTATTGTTCCTGCTTTGGTATTTCTTGTGGCTGGATTTAATGATGTATTTTTGGAGTGAAAAATATATTAATACCTGAATGGAATGCTTGTTTACAGATGATTTCCTCTTTTTAGTGCAATAAAGTCATTTCTAAAACAGATGCAGGTGTGGCCCTGGCTCCTGCTTTCCCCAAGATATTTCCCGGTATTATTCCTGACGGCTCCCTGCGTGAGAGAGCAGAGCTGGAACCTCAGACAYGGGGCAGCACTGCCCTTCTGGGTGCTGCTCCCCTTTCCAAACSCTTTCCAGGGGCACAAGGTGCTTCCAAAACTCTTCCCCTGGTGCTGCCGAGCAGCCATGGGGTGAGGTGGGAATAAATCTCCCTGCTTTGAGTGGGGACCAGGGACAGCCAGGGCTGGGGTGAGGAAGAGCCCCTTCCCACACTCTGTGCGTGTCCTTCCTCCTTCTGATCCCTGCAGCCCTTCTCAGCACTGCTGGAGGGTGATGATGAAGAAGATGATGATGATGGTTTTGTTCTCCCCGCTCTCAGGGCTCCCCCCCAGCCCAGCTGTCAGCATTCAGGTTGCTTTTCTTTTCTCCCCACCTGCCGCTTCCAAATCTGTTCCTAGCCAGATGCTGCTGAGGAAAAGAGGAGTGTTTGCCTGTTACCTAAATGCCATTTTTCTAATTTCCACAATTCTGATAATTTGTCATTTTGTTGGTCGCTATAGAGGCTGGGTGGGAACAGATCTGTTCTCTCACCTCTGGCTCCCACCGGGGTGGTGAAAGCAGCTTGGTAGGTGCTAATAATTTAAGTCGTGCTTTTTCTAGAGGTCCAAAGCTGCAGCAGTTAGTAACAAAATGAGGCTGATTAAGTCTGAACCAGAGTGGATGGGGTCAGCCTGAGCACACAAAAAATCCCTGGAAAGTGTTCAACGTTCTTAGAGCTGGAAGCAGCCAGAGGGGTGGAGAGGGGTATCTTGTGGGGGAAGATTTAACTSTGAATTTGTAATCGAGCCACCGTGGGAAGGAAACGCGTCTGCCTCGCTGGACCTGGGAGAGCTTGGTCACGCTTGAGAGGGGAGTCAGAACTGGGAGCTGCTGGGGAGGGGGGAGGGTGATACATCCACACCCCCCTCGGGTCAGGGGATGCCCAGGTAAAGCGCAGCCAGGTGAGATCCCGAGCCCTTGGGCGGCTCTGCCCATCCCTGCACACAGCAGGTGATATCTGAGCCCTGGGACGCTCCCCCTGCTCAGCGATTCCTCTCTCCTGGGGTCCCGAGGCTGTGGCGCACATTTGGGTGTGCAGGAAACTGAGGCGGAGCAGGGGAGGCCGCTGGATGTGGAGGAGCGCTGATCTCCGGAGCCAGGCTCACCTGGGCGAGAGGCGCACACAGACCTYGGCTATTTTTAGCGCCGTGTTCCCGCAGCGCGAGGTCTCAACTTCTGAGAAAATTGCCTGGAGCTCGTTCAGCCACGGCGCGATGGCTGGCGAGGGAGGGACGGGGCGAATTAGGGGTTCAGTCTCATCCGGGGTGCGGCAGAGCCGAGGTGAGGACAACAGCGGGGCTGTCCCTGCTGGGGGACAGGGGACACCCGGACCGTGCCCATCTCCCAGCCAGGCTGGGGGTCCCAGGGCCGTGTCCTGTCCTTGGCACTGCTCAGGGCTCTTTCAGCAGTTTTGGCTGAGCAGGGCTGGGACGGCTGCTCCTCCTTTCAGGATTTTTGGGTGTTATTAAGGCTGGCGGACCCTCTCGTGCTCCCCCGGGCAGCCCMAGCCCAGCCATTTCCGTCCCCCCACCCCCAACTCCGGCTGCCGATTTACCGTTTCGGTCAGAAAAGCATCTTCCCGTTGCCTGGCAACGCTCGGCCGGTGGCGGGGGGGCTCCACGCAGGGAAATGGGGTGGCCCTGCGGGTCCTGCGCTGGAGMCGGCCGGGTTGCCCGTGGCGACTCCGTCACCCGGTTCTGGGTACCCGGGCCGGGCCGGTTGGAGCGGGACCAGGCGTGCAGAGATGCGGGCAGGGAGCGCCGGCCTCCCCCGGCACCGCGCTCCACAGCTTTATTGCCGGCATTTGTCTTCCATGGCAGCGTGTCTGCCTCGAAGGGGAGAKGAGAGACTCCCACTGATACCGGGAGGAAAACAGAACTTAATAGAATCCCGCAGCCGCTTGTAGTCACATCAGTTGCTTTGGTGGAGAGTGACCATCCCTGCGTATTCCCACTCGCCACCCAGCAGTCTGTGCTCGCCCAGGGGACGCGGAAACCCCCGGGCTGAGGTCTCAGGAGCCCACCGGGAGCAGAGGTGACCTCCAGCTCCTCCAGCCCGATGGCACTTGGCACCCTGCAGAAATCCAGCGGCTGCCCGGGTGTAGCTGGGGCAGGCAGTGCTCCCACACAYTCCCTCTGTTCTGCTTTTCCATTTGCACTTTGCTCTCCTGCTTTGAGGCTGGCAATCCAACAGGGATCAGATCTCGCCTCCATAGCCAGGAAAAGGCAACCAGCACACGGGAAGTGTCACTTTGGACTCCCCCTCCCCATTAATTCAATCCCCTGGATCCAGCCTTGATTCGGGGCTGGGGCCAGGGTGGGTGTACAGAACATGTGGAAATGCAGTGGGAGAGTGCAGGGAGTATGTAAGGATGGATGAGGGTGAAAGCAGCTGTGGGGGAATCTCTCCTGCCTCTCCTCTCTCTTTCCAGTGACAGACCTGCTCCTGGTGGACTTTAACACACTGCCTTTACAACGTTTGGAAAATTCCCAAAGCCTCAAGAAGGCCCAGGTTGGAGGGGGGAAAATTGAATAAATAAGCAGACAGGAGGATTTGTTAAACCCCAGCAGCTGCTGGCAAACAGGGACAGCCGGTTTTTAACACCAGTGTAGCTGGGCACTGATCGATATGGATTTTGGGGCCATGGGCTGGTACCAGCACAGGGTGGCTATGGCTGAGCACGGGTGGCTGTGGGGTACAGGAGTCCTGCTGTGGGTACCCGGCTGGACCCAGCAGGGCAGGGCTGGCAGATATTCCAGGTGGAGAGCTCTGCTTCTCCCCTGCTCCCCACCCAGACCCCCCTCCTCGGGTGAAGGGACATTCCGTGTCCATCCCCACGRCGCTTTGGGGCTGTCCTGACCCCCCCTGCCCATTCTGTGGTTATTTTACAGGGCGGGCTGCGTTGGGATCGGGGCTCCAGCCCGGCGTGGGACCGCGTCTGCCTGGCAGAGGCACAGGCGGACACGCCGTGGGAGCCGGGCTGGCATTGCCATGGCAATGGAGATAACAACAGCGGCTGCGGGGCGGAGAGCAGGAAGGGCAGGGAGCTCCGGCAGCACCGCGGCCRCTCTCACCCGTGCCAGGCCAGGGTCTGTCCTGTGACATCGCCTGTCCCAGCCCTGTGATGCTCTGGACAGCAGTGAGCACACCTTTGCTGCGGTGAAACCCTCAGCATCCTGCAGAGCCAGAGGTCGCGCTGAGAAATACATTAAAATATAGGATCACACCCTCCAGCCTCTCCGCTGCCAGGTTATAATTAATTCCCGTTGGAATTAATTCCGTCCAATTTCCCTCGCACGGCTCCTGACCCAGACCAATTGCCGTGTGAGGTTTGTGTAATTGCTAATCTTATCAAGCACATCGGTGCGAAGTGAGAACGCTGCAATTAGCAGGGGCGGGAGCCGCAGGTGAGCGGCGAGTGTTTGCTCCACCTGTGCCAGGGGAGGATGTGCGCTGGCTCCGGTGCTTGCCGGGGCTGTCCCTTGGCCACTCTGGCATCCTCAAGGCCACCAAGGCCACAGCAGTGCCCGAGCCACTGAGCAGCAGCAGCTCCGCGGTCAGAGGAGCCTCTGCCGGGGTGGGGCTCGYTTTTCCCAGCCCCACATCGCCACGGTGCCGCAAGGACGCTGGA